AAGAAGTATATATATATATATATATATATATATATATGGCATTGTACCTATGCATGAAAAGATGTATCTCGCTTTTTGAAAGTTAAAAAAATGGTATTTTAATGTGATATGAGAGATTTGAGTACTACAAATGTAAAAGGTAAAGTTTAGGTGTTAGATATGCAAATATGTTGAGAAATTAGGGCGGAAAAAAATATGAATCGACACAAATTCAGAAGAACACAAAGAGATTTAACGAGGTTCGGCAAATATGCTTACGTCATCGGGAGCAGAGCGACGGCTTTTCACTAATTCAGAAAAGAGGTTACAGAATAGAGGGATAATCCCTAGGGTTACATACAAGCCTAATTTATAACCCTAGAAAACACATAAAAAAGAAACCTTGGGTATAATATGTAATTACCAAATTACCCATGTAAAACACACCAACCACATAAGAAAGCTCTCCTGATTTGGACAGAATCTTTCACTCTGCTCCGCTCCTAATTTGGCACTGTCCATTTATGGTATATGAGTCATATCTAACAAACTACATAGAAATTTTCATAATTACATATCTAACACCTGGATTTTCATATTTACATGCATTACTCTTCCGTGCGTTATATCCTATGCATGAAAAGTACATTTCACTTTTAAAAAATAGGTGATAGTGATATATTTTTTTTATATGATAGTAATGCTATGCAAGTAAATATGATAGTTGGGGTGTTATATGTAAATACATAAGAATTGTGTGTTATGTAAATCCCCCTATGTTTTGTTGTAAAACTAATCCCATAACACTAGAGAACTTGGTATATCTGTAAAAAACTTCAATTTTCAGCAGGGAATAGTAAGAACAGCTATACTAATTACATACAAATAAAATAAAAGCAAAGCCTTGCACAGCTAAATTGAGATGTAAAGTGTAAATTATGTCATTTATAGGGACTACAATTAAATTATGCTTTTGTAACACTAACTTATCGAAGCAAAATCTACTCAACCTAATTAGTTTTAACCATTCCACTTGCTCCAAACAGAAAAAACAAGAGAAAACAAACCCAAAAGAGCAAGATGAACCTGCTCAGTGGTGCTTATCTTGAGAGAGATTTGCCCATTGTATCCTGCCATCTTCGAATTTCGATCCTTCTCCCTGAACCAGACCTCCAAATTCGTTCCACGAGCAAAGTTCATGCGTGCTCGAACCACGCCGGCTCGAGTGAATAAACAAAGTTTCTTCCCAATGGATATTTGATCTTCTAATTTGAATCCATCCAACAAGTTTTCCTCCATGGAAGTAACCAGAGTTCCAGTAGCTGTCTTCTTCTTCTTCTTCTTCTTCCTGCCAACTGGTATGTTGAGAGAGGTAGGAGTGGAGCAAAGTTCTCCATGGTTGGATTTAATGGAGGAATCATGGTCCCAAGTTTGAGTTTGCAGAACTGAATTGATTAAAAGGTGAGATCTTGGATCGAGAAACCAGTAAATATTTGCTGGATTTTCAGAGCCTATTTTACCTCCTTTCATCTTTTTCAATCTCCCAAGCTCATCCTTCCATTTCTTCTTCTGAAAAAGTTTGATTTTGTAATCATTTTCATCAAAAATGGCATTTTTGAACACTTGAGCAATGTTCTGAACTTGAGATTTCGTCAATAGTTTGAGTGCTTCTTCTATCATGTTATCAAAGTCCATAACAAAATCAAAAAAATTACTTTCACATCCCTGAATCTTAGATTGTAGAAATGAGGAGAAAAGGAAAGGAAGGGGATAAGCCCAAGGAAATGGGAAAAGGGTATTAAGCTCTGAGAGTATCTTTGATGAGTAGCATAAGAGAAGCAACCATGGCTTCCACATGCAACCATTGGGAAGTAAGCTCTCTCCATCTTCGTTCCTACTACGACAGTGATAATTCTCCACCAGAGTCACCGGATTCATCAAACTCATGTCCTCGGCCGCTCGCCGGATCGAACACTGAACAATTTTCGATCTTTGAGCAATGAATTCATCGTAGCTCATGGAAGAACCATCCGGGCCTTCGGGAACAGCCGAAGCAGCATGCGTGAGAGCGATAATGGCGTTGAACCAAATAGATGAGCCAAAGGTGCGAGTAATCATCCGTAATATACTCGACTCATTGAAATCTCGGTTATATTCATCCAACCGATCGACATAAAGGATGGCATCAGGAGGAAATCTCCTAATATACTTCTTTACGGATGAGAGAGTCTTCAAGTTTGCTGGTTGATCATTCAAAGAAGTTGAGAGCCCAGGCGTGTCAATGAAGCGAATATAAACCCCATCAACCATTCCTGAAATCTCTCTCACTGAAGTTGTCGCAGGTTGTAATGGATCAGTGAGAGCTCTTTCTTCACCAAAAATGGAGTTTATGAGAGCACTCTTTAAGAACTAGAATGGTGCATGACAAGGCGAATTCGTCCTCTCCCTCATCATATAGAAAGGTGACATTTTTAGCGCCGGTTTTTCTTCCTCGACTCACTGAGTATATAAAGCCCACTCCTACTATCTCGACAAGACGAAGGTACTTTGCCCGAATTCGTTCAATCTTTGAGTACAGCATCTGTTCTTCAACTTTCAAATCATTCACATAACAAGTATTTTGAGAAGTATGGTGAGGAACTCCAAAGGAAGTTCCATGAGAGGGCCTTAAGAGTGCTGCCAATGCAGAGGTCTCAAAGAGCTCTTTCGCATTATCATCCTCATCAATTTCCATTTCCTCGTCAGAGTTATAAATGTTTTGAATGCCTAAAATGTTTGAATAGGTTTGTGAAGATTCAAAACTGGAATGTGAAGTAGAGGAACCTTCATCAATCTCTTTCAGGATACACTTCATAGATTCTGAGTGAGGCCATTCAGAAATCCCATGTTCATTCTCTTCTGCTAAATCCTCGTCATAAATAAGATGGTAAGAATCAATGGAATCCATTTCCTTTCCGTCTGCATAAAAGGATGAGAAGTTATCAGAAGAAAACTCACATTTATTGTGAATTGAAATCTATTTAATGGTGACTGCAGACTCATCATTCTCCTCTTTGAATTTATTTAAAAATTGTGCAGCATATACCATCGCACTTTAAGCAGAAAAATCCTTACATGGAGAATGATTTCCATCAGTCGAAACAAGAAGCTTAAAAGTAGAATCTTTTGCATTCACAGAATCCACAGAGCTAATCTTCATATGCAAAACTTCATCTTTTCGTTCAAATGCTTTGTTATCATGAAGACTTAACATCTCAAGGAGTGAACTATGGCTGAAACAAACAGCATCAGGAGCTCCGAACCGCTCGGATTCAGTAGAATGAGCTTTAACTTCACTAACCTCAAACATTTTCTCACCCAAAAAGCAATTTTTGGAATCAAGATCACCTCCAACCTCCTCTTCCATGTCCTCAAATTGAGAAAACTTTGCCTCAGCCTCTTCGTTCCAGTGCCGGCTTGAAGCAACATCACCAGCAGCTTTAATCGTTACAATCTCGACAGGGTCGTCTTCAACCTCTGGAATTAAGGAGTCAACAGCTTCGGATTCAGCTCCTAAAGTCCTCAGCTCCACATCCATGACAGAATTCTGAGTCGAATCAATATCACCAACAAGATTGCATTTTTCTGATTCTATGATACTTGAATCAACCAACAAATCTTTCACTTCCAACTCAAATCCCTTATTTTGATTTACATCATTCAGCTCCAATCCGCCTTCAACAGCACCAGCATCATCGCTAGAAGCAGCCACTCTCTCCACCACCTCAACATAACCCTTCTCCTTCTCCTTCTCCTTCTCCTGTACCCGCAACTCCTCTTCTGATAAAATTAGAGTATCTTCATAAACACCCAAGCTATCACCTTTCACCTCATTTCCATAAAACAGCCCACTCTCCTCCCTTCCAGACTCAAATCCACCACCAAAATCCTCATCCCTTCCCCCATTCCAGCTCTCCACCTCCAACTTCCCCACAACCAACTTAGGCTTCACCTCCTCCTCATCATCAAACAGCAGCTCATCCACAACATCGTCGTCTTCATCATCTCCTGTAACACGTGCAATGGGAATGAATGGCCGCCTAAGAGAGCCACTATTGTCCTCTGCCGCTTCCTCCTCCAACTCGTCAACACCGGAATTATCATCCGAGTCGCCGGCGATGAAAGAAGAAGCATCGCTTGAGCTGTCCTCAGCAGAAAGCCGAGCGCGAATGGCGAACGGAAAACCAGACGATGCGGGCCGCGGCCCCATGGGAAGCGGAAACATGTTCTCTGCTCCTTCTGCTCGCCTTGCTGCTGCGCCGCTCCGTAGAACCGAATCCAGAAGAGCGAAAGGGTTGAATTTGAGAAAAGGGGGGATTTTGGGGAAGAGGGAAGGCCACGTAGAGTGCTTCGGATGGTGGAAAACGAAGGAGGGATTGGGGATTGAGATGGAATTTGATTGAGGGGGAAATCGCGACTCCTTTCATTGAACGAATTAGGGATTTCTGCTCTCCATTTCTCTGGTTCACGTTCTCCGACCACCAGCCTGCTCTTCATTTATGATGCATCGATTATTTGGTTTTGTAGTTCAAAAAGGAAAAAAAGAAGAAGAAGAAACTCATTTTGAAAGTGACTTGTAAAGGAGGCCCTAGTCTTTTTATTTATTGGGACAAATAGATAAATATCATACAATTTTAGATGAATACCATAACTTTTATTTATTTACACATGTAACTTCTAAAGGCGGCCCCAGTTCTTTTAGGTCTACCTCTCCCTTTCTTGAAATAAATCTAATTTAAAACATTTACTCTGCTCACCCAGTCATCAGATGATCGACATTTAATGTGACCAAACCTTCTAAGGCAGCTCTCTTTAACATTGATTGTCAGTGGAGTCCCCTTGCATGTATATATTCATTTGCATTTTTTTCTCTCTGAGTGTAAAGCCAATCAACAACATAATTTGTATGCTTCTCTTTTACATGCTAACATTCTGCCCATAAAACATTGTAAGTTTAATCATCATCTTGTAAAATTTTCCTTTAAATCTAAGCAATAATTTTCTATCATACAATATAATTGATGCATTCCTCCTCTTCAACCATCCAACTTGAATTATATTCCAATTATGTCACCATCACTCTGAACAATAAACCTGAGATATCTAAAACATTCACTTCTTTGAGTGATTTGATCACTCATTATTGCAACCCCACAACTAGATCCACTAATACTAAAATTACATTCCATGTATTCGGTTTTAGATCTACTAAAAAAGAAAGCATTTAGACTAAAAAATGACCTTCATAATCATTTTTCCTAAACTCTTTCCAACCTTATTAACAATAAGAATATAATCAACAAAAAATATATGCAAAGATGCATCCTCCTACAAATGTTCAGTGAGAACGTCCATAACTAAAGCAAAAAGATATGAGCTTAAAGTCGATCTGCGATGCAATCCAACTAAAATAAAAGAATATTTAGTCAATCCTCCCAGTATTTAAACACAAGTAATAACTCTAGTATATATATCTTTAATGATCTAAATATAAGCAATGTCAACACTTTTCTTTTCTAAAACTCTCCAAAGTACTTCTCTTTTAACATAATCATAAGTTTTATCACCGCATTCAACTAATCAATCCTTAGACTCGAGCTTTATTGGACTTACCAAGGAGTAGATTGTACATGAATGGTGGATTTGTGTGAGAAATCAACAACAAAAGTTTACTATTTCATAGGGCTGACTCAATAAAATAAAATAAAAATTTGAAATTGGGCAAGAAATGACTTTTGAACCATAGATTGAATCCATAAATCTAAAATATAAATGCTACATTGTTAAAATTCCTAATTATTGTGTACTTTTTGACATTTTGTTACAATTTTCAATTAAGAGATTAATTTATTATTGAAAATATTTTAATAAGAATTAAAATTATTGATATTTAGCTATTTGGTATCAATTTTGAATAATAACTCAAATAATATTGTCATCATTCATCCTTTAGAGTTATATTTTGGCTGCATAATTCTATGGACCTCATATATAATCATGTGATTATTTAGAACTAATTTTAATGCTTTATTTTATTTTTTCTTCATTTTATTTTAAATTCTTAAAACATTTTACTTGTAATTTATTATTTTTTTTTTACAATAAGATCATTCAATTTTTAGATATATTATAAAGTTTTAGTATTTTAGCAATTTATATATTTTCAATAATGTGAATATAATAGAATTTGATATTTAATTCATTATAAAATTATAAATAATTTTACACATTTTGATCAATTTTAATCTTAATTTTAAACCATTCAAATGACATAATATTCCTTAATTTTATTTAATTTAGGGAATCAATTTTCCTTATAGAGCATTACTTTTACAATTTATCAAAGCAACTAAATTAAATATTCAATAAATCTAGTCAATTTTTTAAAATTTTATTTTTGTATTTTCCAAACAATTCAAACTTTACTCTTAGTTAAATAATTTTTAATTACAATAGACCTTAAAAGCATGACATAATACAATTTTTTAAATCAAATAAAATTTAACTTTTTAGATAAAATATTTATGATGTGCCCTCACATGTAAGAACTTGTATATTTTTCTCACTATATATATATATATATTAGGTATGGCTCATATCTAGGGAGTTTGAATTTTTTGATGAAGAGGTGTGTCTCCTGGTGAAAAGGAGTGTCTCTTGGAATAAAGAGGGCTGGAAGGAGCGAGGGCGTGATTGTAATTTTATCTGAGGTTTGTATATGTCTATATATATGTGTAACCCTATGAGAGGTATTGTAACTCCTCTGAGTAAACTTCTCTGAAATAGTGAAACCGTCGCTTGCTCCCGAGGACGTAGGCAATTCCTTGCCGAACCTCGTTAAATCTCTGTGTTCTTCTTCTGGTTTGTGTCGTTTCCTGTTTTATTCCGCTAAATTTCACAACAATTGGTATCATAACCTCTTTCGAGGGGAACAGGAGGAGGAGATCGACGCAGGAAGAAGATTTGAGAAGGAGTTTTGCTGGTTGTGCGACAGTTCCGGTTTTGAGACGAGTTCGGTATTTCGCGAATTTAAGGAGTTCGCAGCAGGCTTCAGAAGGAGGATCAATCGCGACAGGGATTCGGTTCCGATCGAAGACAAGAGTTCGCCGCGTGCGACAGAGGATTCGGCTCGGAGGAGATTCGCGAAGGAGGAGGCTCTGTAGAGCTGTTGGCTATCGGCGGAGGAAATCTCGTTCGCGATCGGATTAGAGAGCAGTTCGCGACGCAAAGGAATTCACCTGTTCGCGACAGACAGATCTCGTTCGCGGGAAGAAGACCAGGCATCGCGACAGTTCCCGGTGTTCGTCTTTGGGCAGTTCGACAAAGAGTTCGCGAAGCCTTGTTCAGTGTGAACAGAGAGTTCGCTGCCCTCGTCGAACAGGCGGAGAAGCGGTTAGCGAACAAGTAGGAGTTCGCTGCAGTAAGGAAGAATCTATTGGTGGTAGCGAACAAGAGTTCGCAATACCGCGAAGGGGAGGAGTTCCGCAGGTTCAACAATATGTGGGAAACAGAGGCTGTCCTATATATATATATATATATATATATAATTGAGATTAAGTGCTTGATAAAAAAAATTACAAATTTTATTTGACAAAAAACAGTTCTCATCCTCAAACAACAAGAAAATAATAGAATAAATAATTCAGAACACATTATTTTGGTTTATTTCCTCAATCACAGAATTATAAGACTTTACAAAATATCAACATAAGCTATAGCTAAAAACGTACAAGTTCACACCAAAAAAATACCTTTTTATTCAATCAGAAGAAGTTGCAGCAGGTCTGAGATGTCTGCTAGTAAAATATACCATTAATTCATGAGAAAAGATTCAAATTATGATACATAAATGAGGCATTTACATGCATAGCATACAGCTTTTATGCAAATTTACATATCTAACACCTAAAGTTTAATGTTTTAAATTAATGGCACTCAAATACTCAACATCACATCAAAATACCACTTTTAGTAAATTTTTAAAGGCATTTACATTACACACCACCCAATTCAAATGTATTTACATAACTAACACCTAAGACTTACTATTTACATTTACACCGCCCAAATCTTACATATAATGTCAAAAATATCACTATTTCAACTTTGAGAGAGTAAAATACACCTTTTTCATGCTTAGCCATGGTCACACACATGTAAAAATTAAAGTTTAGGGGGTTAGACATGTAAATACATAAAAATAGAGTGGTATGTATGCATAGTTTTTGTTTTGAACGTAAATATCAAACGTTTAGGTTTAGATATGTAAAAATCCATAAGAATTGAGTGGTTATGCATGTAAATTTCGCTACATTAAATTCATACCTTCTCATCAGGCATCAAACAAGCTGCACAACAGCAGAAACTCTCAAAGCTCCATGCTGAAGCAGATCGCCGAGTTCATCAAACAGCAGTGCGGTTCTCCAGCCCCAACCTTTGGGAGCTTTGGGGAGCAATGTTCCTGCCTGCTTGGAGCTCTCAAATGCCATTACTTTTCTCTTTGATGGACAAATCAACTTGGAATTATGAAGATTGATATTATTCAGTTATGATATTTTGGGAGAGTTTGTTCGAGAACATTCGGTAGGCGAAATATACCTGATAGCGAGCAGTCACCTTTTCGCGGGGGTCAACAAACATATGAACCTGAGGAGAGGTTGAAAAGGTGAAATACACATTTTCATGTATAGATTTATGACACCAATATGTTTTAAGTGTAAAGAACAAATTTTCCGTGTTAGATATGTTATTCTCGAATAACCATGAGTATCATTTTATTTTGGGGCATTTACATACATACCACATAAATCTTATAAATTTTTACATAACTACACCTAAAAATTCATATTTACATGCAAACCACTCAAATCTTTAGCATTACATAAAAAATACCACCATAGATATATTTCTAAAAGTGCAATACATATTTTCATGCATAGATTTACGACACTATGGTGCTATAAGTATAAATATCAAACTTTAGGTTTTAGATATGTAAATACATAAGAATTGTGTAGTTAAAGCTCTCTTCTATTTTTTGTTTTCAATGCTGTGCTTTTTTTTTTTTTGGTTTGATTTGAAGTAAAACAGTTTGTCAAATTAAAAATAAATTAACATTAACTATTTCAAAATATGAGTTTATTTATTTTTAAAATGAGTAAAGTGTCAAAATAATCCTAATACTATTTATATGGGGTCATTTTAGTTCCACAGTTTATAAAAATAACAAATTAGTCCTCAGACTCTTTAAATATAGGCTTAAATGGACCTTTATTTCAGCCTACTTTAAGAGAGTATGAGACCAATATTGATATTGTTATAGACTCTGGAATTAAAATTATGTGTGACAAAGAGTAAAGATGTTTCCTTTTTTTTTAAATAAAAAAAATATATATATAAAGAAAAGTTGAATTATTTTAAAAAACAAAAATAACTTATTAAGATTTATAATTATTTATATTAAATAATTTCCAGATCAATCCCCTAAAGTTTCATTAAATCTGTACTTAAAAGATTTACTAAAATCCTACTTTGTAGCCAATCAGCTCCTTACCTTTCTGAGAGAATCTGCCACCTCTGCTTTCCGCCGATGGAGAAATAATCCTGAAGGAAAAAAAAATGTTTACAACACTCAATTGTGCTCCTCCATTGATTTTATGATTAATACTATACATAAGAAATATATGGTTAGGATGAAATACCTAAAGTACGCCGTCCTTGAGGATCCTCATCGCTGAAAGCCTGGACGCTGACCTGCAATGCAGTCAGATTTTAGAAGACTGGAAAAATAACATACATGATGTTTTAATTTGATATTGAATCAATGCCACAAATAATGATATAAGCAAATATATATATATAAAATAGGCGAAAGTGAGTTCACTTGTACAAAATAAAAGGGGTATTTATAGTTTTAGCAAGACTTCTTTAAAAGAGATAATTAAAAGAAGCCAATAAAGCAAGAGCATATGGATTGTAATCTAAAAATTATTATAAGATTGATCAAAAGGTAGAAGCCTTTAATTCATGTCTTCATAGTTTCCTTTTAAAGTTTTAATTTGCATGTTTACAATTTTCTTCTAAAACTTCAATTATTATGCACATAATTTTCAAGTGAGACACATATGACCCACAAAATTCTGGTCACAGATTTAACAATCTCCATCTTGACATGTATTTCCAAGTAATGCAAAATAGATATTTAATCTTCGATAGAACTTTCTCCACATCTTTCGCCAACTTCAAAAAAGCTCTAATGATCAAGAATGAATGCAAACCAAGCCAAAGCGATGCTCATGGATATTGGGAGTGTCTTAGTCATCATGTCCCCAAAATTATCATAAGTACTAATTTTGCTCACAGCAATATCACCACAAGCAATAACTTCACAAATGAAGTGGTAAAAACATCAATATGCTAAGTTCTCTCAAGATACATCTGATCTTTAATGAGATAAATAACACTCTGACTATCACACATGAATGTAATGATCTTTAAAATTTCACCAAGTTCTTCATATATGTCTTTCAATCAAAGAGCTTCTTTGCAAGTTTGAGTAATTATCATGTACCCGGCTTCAGTTGTAGGAGCATTTTTGTCTGTAAGGTAAACTTCCAACTAATCATACAACCCTGATGCGTGCTAGAAAATTCATGGCGGTAGAGTAATGGATTATCGTCTTAGCATAGCGCGAGGATTCAATACACTCAAATGAAAATGAATAAAGTTGTGATAACACCAGGAGTTTTTACGTGGAAAACCCGTAAAGGGGAAAAACCACGGGGTCTGACCCAGTTGTAAAAATCCACTATTAGTTGAAGATTACAGATGTCCATTGTCCCACGGGAGGGAAAGAACTCTCAAAGCTCCAT